GGGGGGGGTGTATCGGAGGAGGGGCAGGATTGCGGACGCAGCAGGAGCCATCAGAGCCCACGGCGGGACCGGCGGTGGTTGCTGTTCCTGACCACAAATTGTCCCCTAAAGGGTCTTCCTCCGATGGCAATATAGGACTCTTTCTTTGGGAAGCTCATCACCTGTTCTTTTGAAGGCCTCAGTTCGTTGTACCCAGATTTTATATCTCAGTTGATCAGGCTTATTCTGGTAGAAGACCATAAAAGACTGGACAGTAGGGGATTCAGTCCCATTTCCCCACACGTCGACAGAACAAATCTAATTGCAAAAGAGTTTTATAATTCAGTGACCCATTTGGGGCCAGACTTTGCCTGCTCCTGAGGGATGTTGCGCCAAGCTGTGTTACAACAGAGTATCATTTTCTTTCTTCTCGTGGGATCGTCACTGTAACTGGACCAATTTTGGAGAACGCAGCCAAGGGGGCTGCCCTCGAGGATGGAACTCTGGTTTCCCATAGCTACACGCCCAATGAGTACAAAAATTGAAACCAACGAACCACAGTTCTTACAAACAAGCGTGGAGAGTGTCAGAAACAGCCGGGGTACTTCTCGTTCTACCAAGGGCCAGGGCTTGTCCGGCCGAAGCAAACGGAAATTTGCTCAGAATCTCCCAGATTGAGAAGGGTGGCCCCCCGTGTTGGGTACCCAAAACGAGCACTCACCCGTCCAAAGGATGTAGGTGTCACGATTCAGAGATCCTGTCTTCCAAGGCAGCCAGGGGTTCGAGAGACAGGAGTAAGCACTCAGATCCGTGTTCCCCAAGGATAGGAAGCAGCGGGGTTTTAAAGGCCGTGAGGACTGTGACCATGTGCAGGGAGAGGGTGGCGAGATCCGGGAATCTGCAGCTGGGTGTCCTCGCCTGTCTGCTTCCCTGATGGATGGCGGATTCCGGCGCCATGAAGAGTTAGGGTCTGGGAAGCTTCAGTTCCTTGACATTCTCTGGACATCTGTTTTCTGGCAAAACAACTTCGAGGACCCATAATTAGCCAAGACTTCAGTGTGAGGCCACCTGGGTTTTAACAATTTTTTAAAATAACTTCTTTGTGCGTTGTGCTCTAATCTCAACACTAGTGTCGTGCATATGTGAAGCTCAGGAATACAGAGATTAAAGAAATTGATGCCTATATGGGAATGTAGTTCGAGAAGGCTGGAAGGGGACGGGTGCTTTTGGTTTTAGTCCCTTATATGCTGGTGTTAACGTTGGGGAACAGATATCAGAGCAGGTATCAAGATGAGCCCAGAGAATTGACGAGGAGGGCTGTTCAGAGCAGGGGTGGGCACGTTTTTCCTGCAAAGCGCCAGGAGTAAATATTTTCCGCTCCGCAGGCCCTCTGGCCTCAATTCTGCCGTTGCAGCTTGAGAGCAGCGGTGGCGGCTGTAAATGGATGGGCGTGGCTCTGTCCCAATAACACTGGATTTATGGACACGGAAATGTGAATTTCACGATCGTCACACGTCCGGAAATATTCTCCTCCTCTTGATTCCCCGCCAACCAAGTACAAGTGTCAAAACCATCCTTAGCTCTTGAGCTGGACAAAACCGGGCATTGGGGGCGGGATCTGGCCGAGAGACTGGCTGTTGGCAGACCCCCTGCTGTAGAACAGTTTGTGTTTTATGTCGAGGGAGGTCCCTGGAGGTTTTGGGTAGAAGAGAGAGAAGATCTGATGCTTTAGGACAGGGGACAAAGAAGACTAGGGCAGACGTCGGGAGACCAGGGGGGAGGTGTCCTCCAGATGGAGCCCCGGGTGATGGGGCCGGACCAGGGACGAGAAGGGGAGAATCTGGAATAGTTGACTGATTCTCTGGAATAGTTGGCTGGTGGAGTGGGTGTGGGGTGAGAGACAGGAGGCAGAGGAGGCCAAGACTTGGCCTGAGCCCCTGGGGGCTGGGGTCACCCATGGCACGCTCGCTGCAGGGGGCTTCGAGGGCGTTTGCTCTGAACGCGCACAGCTTCCCGGAGGACAGGCCAAGGGCAGCTGGAAACCCGAGGCCTCAGCCAGGAGATCCATTTCAGTCTCCTCTCCTGACAAGCCTGAGAGGGTCACCCCGCCTCTGAGTGTGAGAGGAGAGGAGCCCTCAGCACCCACCCCCCAGCTCCCCAACTGCTCCTCAAACTCTCCGTTTAACTGCCTTGGCCCCCATCCCTCCCTTCTCCTGTGCAAAGGGGTGTGAGAATAGATGAGCGAATTCTCATACCACCCTAAACCAGTGGTTCTCCATGGGGGAAAGAGGGGGCAATTCTGCCCCCCAGGGGACACTGGGCCATGTCTGGGGGCATTTGTGTTGTCACACTGGGGGAGCTCCTGGCATCAAGTGGGTGGGAGCAAGGATGGCCCCCCACAGAGAACGACCCAGCCCTGAATGTCCACGGTGCCAAAGGGGAAGAACCCAGCTCTATGGTGTCTGTTGCATTATCCATCCCATTTAGCAGTTGAGGAATTGAGGCCCAGAGAGGGAGAGTGACTGGCCCAAGGTCACACAGCAGGTATAACATGACCGAGCTGGATTCAGACCCCTGCCTCCTGTCTGCAGTTATTTCTCCTCAGTCCAGGTTCTGGAAGGCCCGTCTCTTCACTCATCGCTTCTCTTTCCTGGAATCCCAATATTCCCCCTTCTGCTGGCCCCTTTGTGAATTTGTAGCCACATCAACCCAGTGGACCGTCCCACCTTTTGGAACCTTTCATGGCTCCCCTGACGCCCCACACTCTTGGTTTCCCCCTCCTTCCTGGGATGCCCCTCCTCGGTCTCCTTTGCCACATCCTCCTCCTGTGCCCCCCCTATGCCCCTCGCCCCGCCACTCCCCCCACCAAGTCCTGGACCAGGGCAGAGGCCATTGTGCTGGTCCAGGCGAGTGAGGATTTCATGATTTCTCCTGCCCATCCTTCAAGTTTCAGCTCAGATGTCCTCTCCTCCGGGAAGCCCTCCCTGACTGCCCAGATGGTGTCAGGAGCCCTCTTGGAGCTCCCAGCCGGCCTGGGCTTCCCCCATCACAGCCTGGTTCATGAGTCCATGGGTGTGGCTGTCTCTCCAGGGACCTCAGTGATAGCGGCGACATCTTTCTTTGTCACTGCTGAGTCCCAACGCCCAATGCCAGGCACCCCATGGGAGAAACAGACAGTGAATGAAATTTACATGCCCCCAGGGCTTGGCCTCCAGAGTCCTTCATTAACTCAGGAACATTTACCAGCTGCCCCACCCCACCCTGGGGTGCCAGGCCCTGTGCCAGGGAGGCCTCAGCCTGGCCCTGCTCCGGAGGGGCTCTCAGTCTGGAAAAAGAGCCAGCAGAACACGCTCCAGCCCTCTGGAGGAGCTGTGTCCCCTCCTTTGCTCAGTGCTTTCCCGGGACACCTATGCTGTCCTGCGTCCCCAGGATTCAGCATTCCATATGCACACGGGTCCCACCACATCTCTATTGGATCAATGAATCCATGTTTATGGCACAGGTACTGTGCACCAGCCACTGTGCTGCTGAGTGCTTGGTGCTCAGTATCTCCGTTAGTCCTCCCTTTGACCCTCTGGGGGAGGTACTGTGTATTAGGAAACCCACTTCTCGGAGGAGGGAAGTCGAGTCCAAAGCAGGTAAGTAAATATCTTGGCTGAGTCGCCTCGGTGGTAACTGCGGGGGTGCGGAGGGCGGGGCCCCGGGTTCAAATTCGGGTGTATCAGACGGCAGAGCCCCCCTGGAGATGAGAGAATGAATGAATGGGTGAGTGATTGAATGAATGAATGAATGAGTGAGTGAGTGAGTGAGCCAGAGCACGGATAGCCCAGCGGCAGTGGGAGGCTCTGTCTGTCGAGGGTCCAGGTCCAGAGTCACCTGGGACCCCTCCCACGCCCCCCGCCAGCTCGGAGGAGGCGGAGATGGACGCAGGCGGGTCCATGGAGGTTCAGGGAGCCGGCCCCCTTCCCCACATCCTCCTGGTGGTGGCGAGGAGGTCAGGTGGGGTCAGAGCCCAGCCCCCTCCCTGGCTCTCCCCCCACCTGCGGGGGAGGGGGGCGGCGGGTGGGGCGTGCGGGGGAGGGGCCGCCGGGCTGGGCAGGGCCGCGCGGGCGGGGCGGCCGGACATCGCCCGCGCCCGCCCCTCCCTCCCGCCCCTCCCGCCCCTCCGGCCCCCCAGCCCGGTCGCCTCCCGGAGCCAGGAAGCAGCTGTACCTGTGCGCCGCCTCCTGGTTCGCGGTAGGGCCCGGGGAGGGGGCGCGGGAGCACGCGGGCGCGGGTCCCTCCTCGCCCCTCCCCGCCCCCTGAGCGCGCGGGCCTGGACCCCCACCCCAGACCCGGGAAGGATGAGCCGGGAGGAAACAGCGCGGGGAGGGGGCAGACACTGGGGGGATGGATGATGGATGGGACATTGGGGGAGACATGGGGACGTTTGGGGAGACAGCTCTGAGGACAGATGGGGACGCCTAGGAGAATTTAGAGGACATTTGGGGAGACAGTTTCGGAGACCGGTTTTGGATGGGGTCATTTGGGGTGACAATTTGAGCAATATTTTGGGGGGCCGTTTTTGGAAAAAGACATTGCATTTGGAGAACGATTTCAGAGGACATTCGAGGGATTTTTGGGGAGGACATTTTGGGGACAGATGAAGGGGTCACTGGGGGGTGCTTTTGGAGAACACTTCAGGACTTGGGAGAAGACATTTTGGAATGCATCTCAGCCTACAGTTGTGGGGAGGAGAAATTGGGACATTTAGGGGACAATGTGGCATTTCAGGATGGTCATAGAAGAATAGGTCGCAGAGGACGCTCTGGGGGACATTTAAAGGGACACTTTTAGGGGCTTCCAGGGGACTTTGGAGGGTAGTTCAGGAAGATACAGGTCAGTTGATGGGGTGATGTTGGAGAGGTGGCTTTTCGCTCAGGAACAGGCTGGGGGCCTTGGTAGGGGGGACAAGTGTTTGGAAAGATGCTGGGGGCTGATCTGGGAGGGTTTAATAGGAGGATGCTGGCAGTGGGTGTTGGATGGACGGCTGGGGTGATGGGCCCGGGGGCACAGGCTTAAACCCCTGCCCGGGACCACCTCCCCCGCAGCTGCGGCTCAGCCCCGCCGACCTCGGCTCCTGCCCGCCCTGCGGCCCCTGCCCCATCCCGAAGCCGGCAGCCAGAGGCAGGTGCCAGGCAAGTGCCCAGGGCGGGCGGCGAGAGCGCAGAGCCCCTGCCGAGGGGAGCGGGCCGGGGTGGCGGCCGCCCGGCCCCATGTTCCTCTGGGTGCCCCGCAGAGCCAGGACTGGGGGAAGAGCGACGAGCGGCTGCTACAGGCGGTGGAGGGCAACGACGCCGCGCGGGTGGGCTCCCTCATCGCCCGCAAGGGGCTAGTGCCCACGAAGCTGGACCCGGAGGGCAAGTCCGCGTGAGTGCCCACGCCCTGGGGGGTGACGGCTGAGGGGTGGCCACCCTGCGGCCGACCCCTGACCTCTGACCTCCAGGTTCCACCTGGCGGCCATGAGGGGCGCAGCCAGCTGCCTGGAGGTGATGCTCGCACACGGCGCCGACGTCATGAGCACGGATGGGGCAGGTAGCGCCCGCCGGGCCCCTGGGGAGGGAGGAGCAATTCAGTACGGGTGCCCCGCCTGAGGGCCCAGCCAGGCCCCGCTTCAAGGCCTCAGTGTCCTGCCGAAAAGGGGGGGTTCCCTTCAGCGTCCCCAGCGAGGCACCGGGTCCTGGCCGGCTGCGGTGCCCAAGGACGCGGACCGGGGCTGGCACGAGCAAGGTGAGTCAGCTCGTGGACGGGGGGCAGCTGGGACTCAGGTAGAGGTTGAGTCAGAGGAAGTAGCTGGAACGGGGGAGCATCTGAGCTTCAGAAGTATCTGGGGGCGTGAGAATGACGTCGAGTTTGGGGGAGTGTCTGAGGTACGTGGAGTAGCTGGGGTTTAGAAGGAGCTGGAGCTCTGGGACAAAAGGAGAATCTGGGAGGATGACATAACTAGGAGCCCGAGGCAAGAACTGAGATAGTAGCAAGGATGTACGGAGTAGCTGGGGGTTTGTAGAGTAGCAAAGATGGGGACACAGCTGGCACGTGTAATAGCAGGGGGTATGGATTGGCGGGAACATCTAGAACAGCCGAGGATTCTGAGGGGCATAGCTGGCGCTTCAGTGTAGGTAAGCATGGAGAGGAGCTGGGGACATGGGGAGGAGCTGGGGCAGTAGGGCTTGAGGTGGGTGGGGAGTAGCTGAGATGAGATCGTCTGGGACATGGACTCGCTGGGGCTTGGAGGGTCTGTGGCCACAGGGAGCAGCACAGTTTTGAGAAGGACCTGGGGTTTGGGACTTGCTAGACGCAGGGAGACTCATCATGAATAGTTGACACGGGTTTCGGGAGCAGCCAGAAGCCCCTTGAGAATGGGAAACCCTAGTAAATCCTCTCTCCCTTTCAGGTTACAATGCCCTCCACCTGGCCGCCAAATATGGGCACCCACAGTGCTTGAAGCCATTGCTACAGGTCATTTCTTGTCTCAGATACTCCCCAAACCTCAGATGCTGCTCAAATGTCAGATACTCCCTGAACCTCAGATACTCCCTGAACCTTAGATATTCCCCAAACCTCAGATACTCCCTGAACCT